AACACAATTTGCAATTCATCCTCACTGTCACTATCCCAGTCGTCACTGCCATCACCTCGGTCTCGGGGAGCATCATTCGTTCTAAAACCTTCGACGCTCTCAAAATTTCCACCTCTCTCATGGATCGATATTCCACCGCCAGGAGACAAGCCAGGAATAACCGGCTCCATACCCACGTCGTCCTCAACCCCAACATTCTCCTCTTCAACATCAAATTTCACATCCTTATCCATCAAATTAACACCTTTCTCCAGAGCACCAACAATTCCAGATTCAACACCGAAATTCCGATCCTCCAAATCCCTACTCGGCAATTCAACATCGACAGAAGCAAAATCCTTAACTCCCTTCACCCGAGAACCCTCTCCGTCGTTTCTGGCGGCCAAATTGAGAACGAACCCAGAAGAACCAGCGGGTACAGACTCCCGAGGCGGCTGGATAGGTGGGGTTTGATTGGCGAGCTGCACCGGAACAACCGACCTGGAGTAAGAAGGTCCAAAGGGAGGAGTCTGATGGTTCTCCTGACGATTGAGATCGATCGAACGTAGAAGGGGCGGAGGGGCAGGAGAAGATTGGTGAGTCTGCGGCGCCGATGAGGAAGAAGAAGCGAAGGGTCTGAGAACATCCGTGTAGAGATCCCCGAACTCATCATCGTCCTCCATCTTTGAGAAGGGATTTCTGGGGATTCAAAGACGGAAGAGAGGAGTTTGAAGGGGAAGGGAAAGGCGCTGGTTTGGAGCTGGAGGCGAGCGTTAAGGAGTGTGCCAATGTTGGCTTTTGCTTGTCATCTTAAGACTACCCCTATACTGATTCCCCTCTCTTTCTCCCTTTGCATTAGGTTTTTTATTTTTCCCCCAACAAACCCCAGGAAAGCCCTTTTTCTTTTTTTCTTTTCCTTTTTTTAATTTTCTTCAGTTTTATTTTACCGTATACTATAAACATTCAAGTTTAAAATTATTTCATCCTTAATTTTAGTTTATATAATTTTAAATAAAGCATTAATAATCAAATTGCATAAATTATTCTTTTAATCCATATCCAAGAAAGAGACAAATTTCATTCTCTTCTAATGAGTTGAAGCTAAAACACTAATCCAAAAATATCCAACCAATTCAATTTCAAGAATAATATTAAAGATTCATAAAATGCTGAAGCTATGGTATAGATCAAAATTTTGTTGCCAATGTAATGAATTTACTCTTAGCTTTGATCTCTATCCAAGAATGCCCGATCATGATGTCGTGAAGGTACACATCAATTTACAAATTTTACCCCCAATCAACTAATATATAATAAGCATGACACCGGTAGTTCATGATGGAGGATTGGATTCAAACAAAATAAACCTAACTTTACTGAGTTCGCAAAGATATACTAGTTTCATCAACAATTTTATTCAACTGTAGTGTTGAAACCAACTTGGTTGGATGTGGATTCTATTCAAGATGCCGTAGTAGATGGAGATATATGATGAGAACAAGCTATTACACAAGTAGGAACATTCCCTTCCATCACAACTCCAAATAAGAAATCCTCTACAGTCTCAAGTTCGAAAGAATCATAGGATTTTTAAGAAAGTTCAAGCAAGAAGGGCACACTATAATTACTTATTTTGCTACAAGTTGATGTTAGCTTGCTCGGAGATCACAGCTCCAGCAGAATTTTCTGATTCAACAAAGAGAACATCAAGTTGTAAGTTAGAGACATGACATGGTAAAGAATTTTTTTTATATAAAAAAAAAAGCAATAATCTGAACAAGTACAAGCTTGGCCAGGATGAAACTTTGCCCGAACTATTAGACAGAGAGACGACTCCGACAATTATGTGTCCATGGAAAGTCGGTCATCGTTACCCATGATATTTCAGAAGAGATTGATATATACACACATAACAACCTAGAGGTACTCCTAACTATAATTGATACCAATGCATGCTTTAAGAAATATTTTGACAAAAAGAAAACTAACACTAAACGATCCTGCTCTGAAGTCCTAAATATGCAGATCAGGCACACTTCATCAGGGGTTTCATTTTAGAAACCTCAAATTTCAACTCAAACAGAGAATCATGGATTGATCAGCGCCAAACTTTCAACAATATTTACTGATCTAAAAATGTGAAACAGTTCTATTGAGTAAGTTCATGTTTGGGAGGAGTGATTTTGGAAGGACCAAAATCACTTGTGTCATTCTGAGCATGACAAAGTGGATTTGATTGTTCCAAATCACTCCCAAACATTAACAGCAGATGACAGTGAAAACTTATATATCTTACATGAATTAGAAACGATGAAGCATGAATCAACAAAGTCAAGAAAGGTCACTAAAAATGAAGGTTTGGATACAAACAATACCAAGGAGAATTGTCATAAACAAATCTTGGCAGTTCTTAACAGCAATCAATTACGACCAAGGAGAATTGTCATAAACAAATCTCGGCAGTTCTTAACAGCAATCAATTACGACCAAGGGGAAGTGATCTACAAGAATATGTCTCCTTAAAATCCGACTTCCTTGATGAGGTGAATATGGAAGCATAGACTTCTTTGGTAGCATTGGCAGGGGCCATGTCTGCTGCTTTAAATCGCTTAACAGCACCATTACTTGCCGCAACCTTTACCTGAACTCCACTATCTGGCCGCTCATGCTTCTCAGGCTTGGCTGAAATCTTACCCAAAGCCTTACCTTCAATGCCATGCTTTTTACCAGACAAACGGGATGATGCCAGATCCACACTCACATCTCCATTCATACCCACTTCCCCGGTCCTCACTTTCTTCGTCTTCTTCTCCTTTGCTTTCGTTTTCTCTTCCTCCATCCTCTCCCTCATTCTTACTACCTCCTCCTCGCTCCCATTGATCACAAACTTGTCTCTGTCCATAAACTCAGCATGACAAACAAGGCAGGAAGAAGATTTAACCTCCTTCAAGGCCTTTGCACTCAGCACGTGTCCACAAGCTCTCAGAGCAAAAAATTTGTACTTACCATTGAACTCGAGCCCAGTAATCGGGCATTGAAACCTCGCCTCTGAGATCTCATTGCCACGCGATTCTGTACCGGGAATCATCGAAAGATTTATCTTGATCATATCCTTCAAACCCTTGATATGTCCGAAACCTTTTGGCAGCTTCTTCTCCAGCAACGCGTGAACCAGCGACTCCTTGTTGAAAATATTTCCAAGCCAATCGATCACACAAGGTTCCCTCAAAGGCTCGTTAGAAAGAGCGCAGTTCAACCACTTGGATAGCCTCTGCTCGTTAGGGTCGACCTTATCGGGTTTCTTCTCTGCGTACATTTTAAGGTAGCAGTCACGGGATTCGGCCCCGGTTGCACCGCCATCACCACCGCCCCCAAGGACCCTGGTTCTTAAAATCAAGGTGGACAGAGGGGGAACTAGAGAACTGGAAATTGTGGCGGAATCGAGGAGAGGTTTCCCATTTAGGGTGAAGTAGAAAGATGAGGCTAACCGTGAAGCAGGCGCGTTGAGGAGAAGAGATAACTTAAGATCCGCGAGGGATTGGGCCGATGTTTGTGCTAGGTTCACGATTTTGGATTGAATTTGGAGGTCGGGAGAACGGACGAAGAACTGAAGACGGTGTTGATTTTTCGGATACATTGGTTAGGGTTTTGAGAATCGAAGACGATACCAACAAATTTCCGTGGCTAGTGTATCGCGATCACGATCAGAACGACGATGATTGTTGATGAAAATCTCAAGCTAGGGTTTCGATTACAATCAGAAATATCGACAATTTTCGGATTCGATGGATGAATGGGGAAGACACCGATCGTATTGAAATCCAGAAATTTCGCTTCTTTAAAAGTCTAGACCGCAAAGGATCGGAAGAAGCATATATAGAGCAAAATTTTAATATTCAAATTCAAAATACTTCAATTATCAATTTAATTTAATTTTCGAGAGCCAAATTTTATATTCATATTTTATTATTATTATTATTTATTCTTTAACAATGATATAAAATAAAATTTAAATGTAATTTTTTAAAAATAATAATAAGTAGATATTTTAAGTATTAACCCTTAATCATTTTAAGTATTAACCCCAAAATTGCATGTCCAAACTCATATTTAAACCTTTTAACTTTTGGAGTTAAGGCTTAAGACTCGACTTGACTTTTATCGAGCTTGACTTCAATGCACATTTCTCTATGGTGTGTTAGATGATGCATCATTCTCCTCGATCACATCACGATACTTGATCTATCTCGACTCTGGTGGGTATAAGTCCATAATATGTGAACCTTACCCAAAACCCAATGAACAAGAAAAGAAAGATAGGAATGTTAAGAATGGGTTAAAAATATGTAAACAAGATAAGCATGGGTGGGGTCCATTAAGGTGTGAAGAAATACTGAAATCAATCAAATGATGACAAGTGGAATATTTTTATCTGATTTTATACAAGACATGGACTTATACCTACAAATCCCAAAATATCCTCTTCTTTACCTACTTTTGAGATTTTATGTTTTTATCCCATAATTTTGAGAATATTATGTATGTAACCCATTTTAACTTCAAATCATATCCTTTTTAGTAAATTTCATCACTTCAGAATTTATGCCACGTCACGTGATTTTTTTAACAACGTGGCAGTTTGCGATGTTAAGCGGTGAGGTGGAAAATTTTGGAGTGGCCGGCGGAATTCGACCGATTGTAGGCGGAGACCACGCGAGTAGCGGGCGCGTGGTAACAAAGAGATAATTAATACTTTGCATAAAGTATTGTATTTTGTTTAATATATAATTTATTTTATACAAATTCGTTTTGAGGAAAAGCCGTCCTTGAAAAATAAAAAATATATTTTATTTTAATTATAAGCACGAAATTACTAGAAACAAAAAGGAAACATTATAAATAGTTATAGTTACATACTTTTTAGGATTATTTAAAATATAATATTATAAATGAATCTTATTAATTTGTTTTAGAATAAATAAATAATAAAAAATAGGGTGAGAAAGCAATGGTGGTGCGCCAGAGAGAAACTCCACCTTTTGCTATTTAATAATCAAACCCTCAACTCTCAACAAAGAACACCAAATTCAATTCCCTCCGCCGTCTTCTTCCTCTTCCTCCGCCACTCCGCCGGCGACGATGCAGCCCTGTAGCAGAGAAATGCAAAGCCTCAACTCTCTTTTAAACAACTCTCAAATCTCCCTTCAGGATCTCCACGGCGACGAACACCATCTGAATCCGCCGTCGGAGCAGATTCCGGGGTCTCAGCTCCACCATTTCGATCCGGTAGCCGCCGCCTCTCACGATGACTTCCTCGAGCAAATGCTCCATACAATCCCATCCTGTTCGTGGCCGGACCTCAACCCTTCAAACCCTAAATCCCCGTGGGACATTAACCCCATCAATAAGCCATCCAGAGATATCTCCGACACCTCTCCCGCTGCCAAGGCTGTCGTCATGCTCCAGCAACAGCTTCTATTGTCCAGAGGCATATCCTCTGTCGCCGATCATGGCCTCCCCCCTATGCCTCTCTCCCTTAGTAATGCCGATTTGGACCGCTCCCACAACGATATCGTCGACAGATCCTGCTTCCGGCCACCAAACTCGGTTAGTTCTGTGCTGGATCTTTCAATTCCTCGCCGGCGTTATTCATGCTTCAACACTCTGTTTTTCAGGGAGGTGGTATTCAATCGCATAGTTTCGGAGCTCAAGGAAATATGATGAATCAAGCTCCGGACGGTGGGTCCGGCGGGATTTCTCCATCTCAGCCGAAACAGAAAGTCAGAGCTCGCAGGGGCCAAGCCACTGACCCCCACAGTATCGCGGAAAGGGTAAACTAAAATTTCCCCATAATTATTCAAATCTTTAACTCTGTTTGACTAAACCCACTAAGTCATCTTCATGCTCAGTAGTTTCCGGCTGAAAAAAATGGATCGCCATTTTTCTTTGTTGTGTTCTTGTTTGTTTTGGGTTGACCCCGAATGTACGTTTGAACAGAAACATTTGGTTAATTGAATTTTTGTCTGGTTCGTGTTAGCTTCGAAGAGAGAGAATTGCAGAGAGAATGAAAGCCCTGCAAGAACTCGTTCCCAACGCAAACAAGGTCATTTCCTTCCTCCTCCTCCTCCTCCATCTTTTTTTTCTTTTTAATTTCCCTAATTAATTTATCCCGAAATTTAAGAACTCTTTACTGAGCTCAAATCGAGCCCTGCAAAACCGTAATTTAGCAAACTGATCAGGGGCATTATGGTCATTAGCGCACACAACGCGTTGACGGTGAGAAATTTATGTATTGGAAAATGAGGGACACGTGTCATCAGCGTAATGTGGCAGTTACTAACAAAATGACGAGCATGTAATTATTAGCAAAACCTTTTTTTTGTTAATAAATTTTTATGTTTGTTTCTGCTTTCGGAGAAAAAGAGGGAGGATTAAATAGCAAAAGCAAAGTTAATTAATGGGGAAATTGAAATTAATTAATTAATTAATTAATGATAATGAATCTGATTAGTTGGAGTTTGGAATTCCAGACAGATAAGGCTTCAATGCTGGATGAGATCATCGACTACGTTAAATTCCTGCAGCTCCAAGTCAAGGTTTGGCCCTGTTACCTTTAAATATAAATATATATATATATATATTTATATATATGCATAGTTTATTCTAATTATTAAATGTAATTAGTTAATATATGTATATATTGAAAAAGATTCCCTGTGCGGTATTTAATTTAATATTAAATGTAATTAATTTCTCTTATTATTCGGTGTAGGTTCTGAGCATGAGCCGGTTAGGGGGTGCAGCTGCGGTTGCTCCTCTCGTTGCTGACGTGTCCGATGAGGTCAGCTCTCTCAAAGTCAAAATTACCTCTTTTCTTTTTTCTTTTTTTTTCTTTTTTTTTTTTTTTTTTTG